CTGACCACCAGTGCCAGAAGATTAACGCTGATTCACAACCAGGGCCGGCTCTAGGCACCAGCGTAGCAAGCTGGTGCTTGGGGCGGCCAATTCAAAGGGGCGGCACGTCCGGGTCTTCGGCGGAAATTTGGCGGCAGGTCCCTCATTCCCTCTCTTCCTCTTTGAGCTGCCACCGAATTGACGCCGAAGAGGAAGAGAGGAAGGACCCGTCGAAGCAGCGCGGTTGAGCTGCCGCCGAAGTGCTGCTGCTTGTCTTTTTTTTTGCCACTTGGGGAGGCAGAAAAGCTGGAGCTGGCCCTGTTCCCAACACAAGCTTCGCAGGAAGCTCAGATACAGAAGGACTTTCAAATAATGTATCCAAGGAGGAAAGCACCATTTAAAACAACAAAGACAGTCGAGTAACCTATGAAATGCTGCCACATACAGGAGAACAAATACTATGTTATTACCTTCAATGGCTGGAAGGCAAAATCACAGCAACAGCTGCTTGGATACGGAGGACCCAACCTATTTTGATTATCCTGGTTAATAGCTTGGTCAACACTCTCAGTTTTGCATGGGCAATGCCTGAAGGGGTATTACAGCAGCAGTCACCAGGGCTGTGTGATCTGGAGGAAAATGACAATGCACTGTGTTTAATCTCTGGTGGATGGGGTGATTTATGGGGGATCCTTTACTAGAGAAAACAAATTTTAGAAACTCTAACGATAATATTGGGCCATATCACATCTTCCACTTTTCGGCAGAACACCTACTGATTTCAATGGGTACTTCCTTTTAAATACCGAGGGGCAGATCCTCAGCTGATGTAAATTGTCAGAGCTCCATCTTTGATGTCATTGAACTATGACAATATACACCAGCTGAGGAGATGCCTTATGATTGCATGATATGGTCTTTGATAAGGAGAGTCACCTTCTTGTCACTTACCCAAGAAGCGCATGAATTGGTGGTCTAACACAGGAAACATTCAGATTAATGTACTTTTTTTGATCTCGCTATTTATTCTTATGCAATATTAGTAAGTAGAATATAAAACAGGGCCCAGTGCACAAGTATACAAATTACTGCTGTGTTAAATGCTTTTTTGCTGTTGTAATTACTCTCTTCTGCATGGTTTAAATTTTACTTTCACCCCTGCTAAGGTTCCTTTCCTAAAAGGAGGGGGGGAAAAATTCCAATTACAGACAATAAATAGAGAATATCAAGGGGAAATGTAAAAAGATTGGTATGTTACTTATTACTGTCAGGAATTAGCTCTGGTGAGCAATTCTGTGCATCATCTTCTCTAGAAATAATTCAACAATGCACTTGTAGGTTAGTTACATTAAAACAGCACTAGGGAGAATGGAAAAATTCCTCAGGACACAAAACTATAGTTTAATTTAAAAGCCATCTCACATAGTATTCAAAACTCCAAAATGTGGCAAGAATCTTTTAACACTGAACTTGTAGAAATGATACTGAAGAAAAATCATTTTTCATTCTGATCAACATTATTAAAAAACCCTGTATATAAAATACTAACATACTGTACATATTTATCAGACACTATAACAATCTTTCAGCTGATTAATTTGAGTCAGTATGTTAGATTGCAATAAGTACCAAATGACTTAACAATTAAAACACACAGTTAATTATATAAACTGTATACACGGACGTACGCTTTTCACATGACATTAACATCAGTCAGAATATGCTACCAAATGTGAATCTTACAACTTTGCAAACAGTGGTTGTCTTGACTAGATTGCTACATCTTTACTGGCAGGGAAATACAGAAGATTTACCACACGCTTCTTGTGCTTGCAGAGTGAATCCAGGGCTGTTCTTAAACAATAATACAGGGACATAGTCAATCAATTTTTTTAAATTAACTAATTTCCTGATAGAACAGTCTTCAAATACTGTCTTTAAAAAAATCCTTGAAACAAAAAACAAAAAGGAAATAATAATAATAAAAATAATTAAAAAACCCAAGCCCTAAAACACCTTGAGGGGTTTTCTGCTCCTCTGTTTCGGGAAGGAGTAGGAGCACCACTATCAAACAAGCTCAGGCCCAACGCTCTCCTCCATTCCTGTCTCTCTAGGCACACTGCTTCCTCATGTCTCTTCAGTTCCAGTTTTACTGCTGTTGCTACTGGTGAACACCTTTTTGCAAAGCTTGGGGCTGGGTGTGCACCATCAACACAGCAGAGAAACTGACCGCACATAAAGTGCTCACTTACTGCACCACTTAAGAGAGAGAGGAATAAAAAAACAAATACCTTTCATCTCTTTCAGTTAAAGTATTGGTAGGGGTCACTCGTAAGAAACCACAGGAATAACATTTTCAGATGGCAATGTGAATCTAAAGGTGGCTGTGTCCCTTTAAAATGATATGCAGGATGCAGAGTGGCTGATTCACAGATTCCTAGGTACCCCATGTCTATTCACCATACACTACTGAGGAAGCGAAGGCTCACATACCCGGTAGTATATTAGGCTAAAGGGGGAAAAAAAGATCTTCCTCTCTCCCCGTCAAAGTTCCATGACTGATAAGTCTCTCCAAAGGGCTGTAAGGAATCGTTCATCTCCACGGGATTCAAGAGGAGATGCACAAAAAGGGCCAGATTATGATTGCCCTGATGGGGAAATCAGGGTGGGGGAAAGATAGCTCAAATAAGCATTTTGCCCCAGCCCATTGCGGCCCTGTACAGAGGCCAGACAGCGTGTCTGGGGACACTACTCCATGCTAGGGTCACTGGTTGTCCTAGTCTCCTGAGCAGGGCCCTACCTCCCTCTCCACTAACAACCCCCAGGAGCACAGATAGCACCTCTCCCTGGAATGGTGAGAAGGCGCAACCGCCTTGTTATCCCACCACCGTAGGTCGGAGCCTTCAAGCACAGCCAAACAGGATGTTACACAGCATGGGATGAGAGAAGTTGAAATTTCAGAGGTTAATTACACAGGGAAGTCTCAGAGCTCTGACTCAGGGGAAGTGCCCATTGAAGTCGACATGAATTTTGCCTGACTTAAGAGCTGCAAGCTTTGACCTGCTGAGGAGCCTTCTTCCTACTTTACTTCAGTGCTGAACACAGATACGTCAGCAGGATATTTGCCTCTACTGTCCAAGAGGGACAGCTTTGGAATTATCCTTCACAACAACCTACCAAGGAAACACTCTTAATGACACGAGGTGTCACCTGCTGATAGTGAACTGGGCGAGAATGAAACTCTTGATAGCGAAGTAGAATGAACAGCCCAAATTATTGTGGGTCACTGAATTACTGTAGTCATCGATCCCATGGTCTGACCTCCAGTGCCTGGTTCCAACCTACCCCCTACTAGCCTGCTTGAAGCTGGTGGGAAGCCTCCGTCTGTGTCATGCAAAGGATTCCAAGAGCCCCCCGTGCTGAGCTCCATTTGGTGCTCTCAGTGCGGAGATGGCTCTTGCCTCCAGCCTGAATTTCAACAATTAAATTTCTGTCAAGAAATGATTCACTGTAAGCAACTCCCACTGCGTTGTCCAGGAGGCAGGTACAGAAGCTGTTAGAGATACACTACTTTTGAAAGACTGCATCTATTGGCTGTAGATAGCCTACTAAGACCTCCAGGGAAAGTGCTGGAAAATTTGGCAGTGTTTAATAGCTTGGTAAAGTTTTCAGCCCTGGGAAAAGCTCCTATTTAACCCATTAAGAAAGCAGCGCCCACTATTTTGGTAAATAAAGGGTTAATATACTTAATGGAGCTGGTAGGAAAAACGCTGAGAAAAACGTTTTGTTGGTTGTCAAAATCAAAATGTTGCATGGAGACGGTTTTATTTCAACAAAGGTCTGAGGAAACCCTGCCTGGTGAGCTGCTGTGAAGCCTGGGCTTCCAAGGGCTGTGGATCCAGGACAGCCTGCCAGGGGTGCTCTCTCAGAGTTGGGGACCCCTGGGCTTCCAGGGTCTGCAGTTCCAGGACAGGCCACCAGGCAGAGTGCCCTGGAGCCGGGGCGCCAGGCCAATTTGCAGAAAACTTCAAAATGTGGGGTTTTCATTCTGAATCGGAACAAAACCTAATTTAAAAATATCTAAATCTTCGGCATAATGGAATTACCTTGCCCTGCCCACCTGTAATATTTAATACTGTTACTGGAGACAGAGCTAACATGCAGGAGAGTCTGTATGAGAGGCAATACTTCCTGGAGCACTAGCAGCAATGAGCTCAGCTGCTAATGTGTTAATGTAGCGCTGAAATGATTTTGCTTTGAATAGTACATGCTGCCTGGCCATGCAGCTACTGCAGTTTTCCTGGAGCAGTTCAATAAAGAGCTATGCCCTGATTGAGCCAGTGGCTTAAGCGCATGTGTGATTCTGTTGACATCAGTGTAGGTTTTTGAGGTCACGGTGTACTGACTCCCCAGAATGGATTCACCAAGTTAGCAGCTCTGTCGATTAACTAATTGGGGATGTCCAAATTCAAGGGGAGTTTTGCCAATAAGGCCTTCAGGACTGGACTCTATGGTCATTCTTTCAGCAAGCAGAGTGTCTGCCTTGGACATATTCTTTGCTTACTGTTTACTCTCTTGCTTTTCTGATTTCTGTTCTTTGTTCTCTTTGTAAAGGATTGTTATTCTGTGATAAAGTGCCAGTGCCCTCACTGTTTATTACAGCCTTTTATTAATACAAGCCATTGTACTTTGATGGGAAAACTCACACAAAATTTAATGTCAGTAGTTAGAAAATGACTGCCTTTTAGTTCCAGCTGGAGTAATTAATGGTTATTTGTAAATATCTATACCAAGCGGTTTTATCATCATGTTTTGGAATTGTTGTCAAATAATTAAGTGAAATTCTGAAGAAACTGTATTTTAAACTTAACAAAATAATCAAAGTTTATCTCATGTCAGATACTTTTTACAGCTAAAAGGAGCCTTTAGAAATCATAGCTTATAAAACTAGACACTTCATAGGTCATTTGTCTTGTATGCGGTGGAAAATCTGAAAAACAATTTGGGTTTCAGGTTTTAGATTTATTTTCATTCTTTGTTGCTAACCTCACACATTTCCCCATCATTTTACTTTCAGTACTTCTTTGTTTGGTATGGTTGTGTTTTTGAGACAAGCCGAGAATGTCTTAGGGAAGATGGATGCTAGACATATAATTTATTATTAATATTAATTATATTGATAAAACAAACTGATGAAAGCAAGGAAGAAATAAGATAAATCTGTACAATATTTGAATTAAATGATTTTAAAAAGGTCACATTTTGAAAGAGGACTTACTGCTTAATCAGTGTACAATCTAATTTGGTTATCAGTTATATAAATTACATACATTACTGGATCTGTATATTGTGATCTCGTTGCATAACAAGAGATTCAAAACTCTGCTTTTATGGCAGATTAACTTCTTCCATGAAATGACTGGGACCAGTCTCAGAATCAAGTTTTCTAATGCAGAAGGCAGATCATAGAAATATATCTTGCTTTATGAACAAATATATAATTTTTTACACGTAAAACAATATAATTGTAAGGATCGGCAGAGTGCATTGCCTGTGAATTTCACGCTGGTTGAGCAATATCTCAGGTCTGACATGTTCTGCAGCTAATTTTCTGATTTTATTGCTCAACTGTTCCTTATCCATAAAAGAAGTATGCAACATGCTTGTGTTACAAACAATGGAAGTTATTTAAACAGAGTACCATCTGCAGTACAAAAAACTGTTAACTATTTCATTATATCCTGTTCCATTTATAGGGCGCTACCTAATTTGCCCTTGCAGAATTTGAAGAAAATCTACCACTCTCTGCTACCGGGCTGATCCCCACATCTGTGTCAGATAAAATCATAGTGCTTATTATTTGTTACCATGGATACCATGAAGATACTGCTGTCCACTAAAGATTACTAGAGGAAGACAACATAATTCTCTGGAACTAGTCCTGTTTTGCCTTCATACGTTGCTTTTAACCAGCCTGGTTCCACTGATGGGTACACTGCAAAATAAATAATAATAATAATAATAATAATAATAATAATAAAAAAAATTAAAAAAATATATATAATATATATTAAAATCTGTTATAGTTAAATTCAATCCTTATCCCAGATGTTTGATTTAAAAAGATCAACATCATTATAAAAGATCAACATCAGATTAATGGAGACATAAACATTAAATTTGAAGTGAAAATCTCTTGACTTATCTCACAGATGCAGTTATGTTTAAATATTGTGTGTATAGGAAGACTATCTAATACATCTTACCATTTGAAAATATCGCCCCTTGTGGGAAGGAGAGCTCATGACTGTGCTCAGCTTTACAGGAATACATGGCTTTGGCTTGTCTGAAAGATCAAAATAAGTTTGTTACAAACAAGAAAAGGGGGAAAAAATGAATTTAAAAATCTGAGAAGCAGAGTAGTCAGCACTGAGCTGGGAAACAGGGAATCCTGACAGAGCTCTAGGGAAAACTCAGGAATTTATCTAGCCTAACTCCTGGTCTGCACATGATTTTCTGTAAGGCCTTGGGCAAGTCATGTAACTTCTTTGTACCTCATTTTTCCCAGCTCTAAGTAGAGATATCAAAATTTATGGGCATCGCCCACCACACTGAGGTGAGGTGAGGATAAATATGTTCAGGACGTCATGTGTTATGTAAAAGTACTGCAGTTTGTGATGAAATTGGAGATTATTGGTAGCACTTTCTTCCCAGTCAGAACGTTAACTCAATGATCTAATATACCATCTGTGGTAGATTTTAATTTGTCAGCATAACTCCCCCCGACTTTCCTCCCATGAAATGAAATTAGTGAACTCAGAAGGTTATATTAAGGTGGACACAATTTACACATTAAGGACCTCTCTGCTCCACCCTGTGTGCCAGTGGTGCTGTGCAGACTGATGTAGAAGGATGGTTCAGCCATTCCCCTGCCTCCTCCACACCCACTTTTGGAGCTCCATGCACACCTGTAGGAATTAGGAAGGAAGGAACCCTCCCCCAATAGGGGTTCCAGAGAGAGTTTAATGGACGGGTGGTGGTTGCTGAAGTTGTGATGGAAATCTGAGTTTAAACCGTCTGTCCAGAGGATGAAAATATCTTCAATGTATCTCATGTATATCATTGGTTTCACGATGCATTTGTCCAGAAATTCTTCTTCAAGGTGGTCCATGAAGAGGCTGGCATATTGCAGAGCCATCCTAGTACCCACGGCTGTTCCCATGGCTTGGAAAAACTGTTTGTTGTTGAATTTAAAATTGTTATGGGTGAGGATGAAATGGATGAATTTGGTAATGAGTTCAGGGTGGATATCTGAGGACTGTCCACTGTCTTATAAATATATGAGGCAGGAATCTATGGTGTCATTGTGAGGGACATTGTTGTATAGGGAAGTGACATTCATGGTAGCGAGGCTGGTGTTCGGAGGGAGGTTGCTAATGCAGTGGACTTTCTGGAAGGAGTTGGTTGTGTCTTGGAGGAAGCTGGCCCTTTGTGTGGTGAGTGGTTTGAGGATGGCTTTTATGAGTTCTGATATTCCTTCATGGCACTCTTACTCTCTGGAACACTCCCACACTAGCATCAACTTCCTGGACATGACAATCAGCTTCAATAATGGAACCCCACAGACAACCATATATAAGAAACCCATGGATCGGTACACCTACCTTCATAGATCCAGTAACCACCACGAACACACCAAGAAATCTATTATCTACAGCCAGGCACTCAGATACTACAGAATATGCTCAGAGGAGAAAGTCCAGGATATATACCTTAACACCCTCAAAACTGTCTTTACCAAACAAGGACACTACATCAGAGAAGTAGACTGCACCATGAAACAGGACACCCAAATACTCCAGGAGAACCTGCTTTAATACAGAAACAGAACCCCCTCCGACCACACACCCCTAGTTGTCGCCTACCATCCCACACTGGAACCCATGTGGGGTATCATCAAACAACCACAACCCACAGTTGATGGGGACCCTATATTGAAAGAAATATTTCCTGAACCCCCTCTTCTGGCCTTCAAACAACCCTTCAACCTCTCTAAGCTCATCATCAGAAGCAAGCTCCCCACTGACCAGGACACACCCACTCAAAGCAGCACCAAACCCTGCCAGAACAACAGATGCAAAACCTGCAGAAATATCTCCACTGCTACATCCCCCACAACACACCTTTCAAGATCCATGGATCCTGCACATTCCTAACACAACATGTGGGGTACCTCATGCAGTGCTCTAAATGCCCTAATAACAACTATGTGGGTGAACCCAGACAATAATTACGCTCTTGAATGAACTTGCACAGGAAATGATAAAAGACAAAAACTCCCTATCACCTGTGGGTGGGCGAACACTTTTCATAAAGCAATCACTCTATATCTGACATATCAATCCTCATTCTCAAAGGAAATCCACCCAACACTTGCAAAAGACAAGCCTGGAAGCTTAAATTCATAACTCTGCTACACACTAAAAATCATGGACTGAACAGAGACACTGGATTTATGGCTTATTACAACAATCTGTAGCCCACTAAACCCCTTCTTTTTGTCCTATGACTGCAGAGATGATAACGGGCCTCTCTACCTTGAATGTCCCTTAGAATATGTGCTAACTACTTATGCTAAACAATCCATTCCACCCTGCATTTAGCTATGAGGCTCGGAGTACCTTTCACAGACCTGAAGAAGAGCTCTGTGTGGCTTGAAAGCTTGTCTCTCACCTGAACAGAAGTTGATCCAATAAAAGATATTGCCTCACCCACCTTGTCTCTCTAATAAATTCCAGTCAGCACAGATCTAGATTTTCACAAAGCTCATACTTCAGTTTTTGGGTGTCCTCTTCAAGGCACCTTAAAGGGGCCTGATTTTCAGCACTTTTTGATAATCAGGCCCTCTTAAGGGGTCTCAAGTTTGACACCCAATAGCACTAGACACTTTTGAAAACCTTGACCATAGCCCCTTTTGTGTGGTGGTGGTGGTGGTAAAGAGGACAGCACACCACTCCAGATATCTCTGCCTCTCATTTCTAGCAGGGAAGAGAAACCCTGAACTCATTCAGAAGAAAAACAGATCGTGCCTCCCTGTTGATGCTATTATTTGTATTGTAGTAGCACCTAGCGGAGCCAACTTTGATTGGTGCTTCCAGGCACTGTACAAACACACAGTGAGAGATGTAAGCTCTTCAGGGCAGGGGCTATCTAAACAGACAAGACAAACAAGGAAGTTTTGTTACCCCTCTTACAGCTGGGGAACTGATGCAAAGAGAGATCTGATAGCTTGTCTAAGATCACACAGGAAGTCCGGGACCTGTCTGGGACTGAACTCTTATCTACAGAGTCCCAGTGTGGTGCCCTAACCACAAGCCCTCCTCTTTAATTTGATATGATAAAGAGCTCTATAAACATTTATGGTAAGTGTGTTCATAGTTCTCCCACAAAATATCTATTTCCCGTATCACTTAACCATAAAACTATACATAACACAAACATGAGACCAAATACCAGATAATCTAAGGTATCCTGTACTGAATTTAATAAACCACAGAGATGATTATAAACACATGGATAATATGCAATACCCTCGGTATTTGGTAAGGCTGTAAACCTTTACAGTCAGGCTGTGTTCTAAACCAAGGTTAAGAGTTCAAATGCTACAGTGAGAAGGGGAAGCTAAGAACACAGAGAGAAGAAATGGTAACGTTTGTGGAGTGTGTGTGTGGAGAAATAAGCTATTTAGCTTTCCTGGAGTCAGAAGATGTTGATTTTTATTGTGGCGTTAAAAATGAGATAAGTGGAATAAATACAATTCTTTCTTTCTCTGGCACTTTCTTATGTTTAGTGAAATATACCAATTTCAGCTGAATGGAGGGATGTTTATCTCCAAAAATGAAATAAATTTGAGGAAAAATAGGGTGTCGGTCTTGCATTCTCCAATTAAGAGAAAGTTTGTAGGGACCCGAGTGTCAAGTCATAGCACCTATAAAATGAGTGAACAAAATGCAGTGATTAATTGACTGCACAGTCATATAAATGCAGTCAAGTGTGAGCAAGTTTGCTTGAATTAACAGTTTCTTCAAGTGATCTTCTTATTATCTTAATTTGTTGTTATTATTCTTGTTATACAGAATAATTATACTCCACTGACGTCATGTACAAATAAAACAGTGTGCGTGAAATAGCACAGGGATAGGCCTAATCTAGAAATATATTCCCATGACTTTTTGACTAATTTTCAGGCTCCTGATTATTCCCTCAATCTCCATCACATTTTGTGATTATTAAGATATCATTTTCCTATGATGGTACTGTCCAGCCACAATGTGTTATCAAGCATTCACGGCTCAAGGTAATCTTATTGTGTGCAACTGCGCAGAGGGACATTCTCTCCGGTGGTGCTAATGCTTTCTTTCAACCAATGCTGCCAGTCGAAGAGGGTGTGAAAATAGCACTATCTTCTATAGTGAGGCTCTTAAAAGGACTAACATTATTTTGAAGAAGAGAGTTACTCAAGCCGTTCAGTGCATAGAAGAGTTAGATAATGGCATCTACCTCTCCTAAGAGTTCACTTTCCTTAACTTGAGTTGAACAGGTTACCTAGCGGAGAATACATTTGTCTTCCCCTCATAGGGTGGCAGGCCCCAGTAAATAAAGTAAGTCAGCTCCCCTGTGCCAGAGCAGGTGCTTCCATTTAGCCAATGAAGAGGGCAGAGCAGCAGCTGGGAGATATCAAGGAACAGGGAGAGAGCCGGTAACAGAAAGTCCCAGTGAGTCACAGCAGGGCTGGTTCAGTCAGGAAGGGCAGGTGGGCACTGGCAAAGACCAGGGGACTGGAGTGGTCTTAGAGGGAAACAGAAGGGTGGTTCCTGGGGACAGGTTGAAGGCAGGGGAGCAGTAAGAGGCTGTTTTCTGGCTGGTGTCTCCAAGACAAAAACCAGGGCCAGAGGGCTGGAGAGGGCTGAAGGCAGGAGGAGTAGCAGCAGAGGGAGCTGCCTCCTGGCTCTAAGTTGGAGAACTGCAGCCAAGGGCTGGAGAGGACTGAAGGAAGGAGAGCAGTGGAGGAGCTTAACTTCTGACATCTTCAAGGCCGGTGAGCTGGACCCAGAGAAAACATGAGAGGGCCATGGGAGTGAGGGATGCTTTCCTGGCAAAGATGCTCCCACACGAAACTCTGTGGGGGTTCCCAGTGGGAAGAGCGGAAATCTGTCCTGGTGCAAGGACAGGAGAGGACTGACCGAGTCCAGGCATGGTTGAAGGTATATGGGGCATCAAGGGATGAGGTGTCTTGAGTTTTAATGACTGCTTGTGCTGGGGTGAGAAATGGACTACATGTTTGGGACTTTTGCTATGGATTATGTTGTTGTAATAAATCAGGAAGGGCAGTATTGAAACAAGAAAGCCTGAAGAGAATTAGTGGGTCACCCGAGAGGGGAAACTGAAACAAGGGTGCCTGTCATGCCATGGCCTGCCACAGGAGGGCACTCCAGGCAGGGGCTGCCCTATGACACTCCCCATTTTCAGGCCTACTTTTACATTTTTCCTGAATCCCTAATCATGAGTTTATGATTGTTGGCATCAAAACATTTGGGTGATTATCTAAATCTCAGCAGATCATCAAAATATTATTGATTATTGCATGGTGCCAAAGCCCCCGCCCCTCCAAGCTCATCATCAAAAGCAAGCTCCTCACAGACCAGGAGTCCTCATCTGCCAAGGGAACCTGCACAACACCTTCAAAAGACGAGCCTGGGAGCTTAAATTCATAACTTTGGCTGACACTAAAAACCATGGACTCAACAGAGACACTGGATTCATGGCTTATTACAGCAACCTATAACCCACTAACAACTCCTCCCCCCCCACACACACACCCAAGCTGCCTTTCCCCCCCCCTTCCTCTAACTACTTAAGCAAGAACTGGTTCTGACTGCTCCCTTGTTGCAGAGGCTGGTCTGACTCAAACAGCACTGCAGTAACAGCTGAGCCACCTTTTATTTCTTCCTTCCTCATTCTGTCTGCTGACCTCTCATTTTCCTTGTTATTGTCACTAGTCTGCTTTCTTATGAAGACTGGATAGAGGAGCTATTAAGCCTGTCAAGCCTTTCCTCCTTTGCCATCTATCATCTGCCCTCCACCCCCATTATGAAGCTGCACAGCTACTTTCTTCTTTGACAGACTCTTGCTTCTTATGTGGTTTATATACAAGTACAACAGAATGGGAGCTGAGCAGGAGGGAGGAAGGGGAGCAACACACAGTGGGAAGGAGGAGGAGCAGAGTAGAGGTAGAGTGCCAGAGAACAGCAAAGCAGGGCTCTATCGAGGCTCCCTCAGCTTGTGTGCCACACAGAACAAGCATCTGTGCCCCACCCGACTCAGCCATGCTGCTGCCTTCTCCCTCCCTCCCCTCCCTCCCTCCCGTAACATCATAAGGTCCTGGCAACTCAAACTGATCAGCTTTCTCTTGAATTGGATCCTGCCACCTGCTGGGTGGCAGTCAGCTGTCAGACCTAGACTGTAAGTTACTAAGCATTTTGGTGCCTGCCTGCTTGCCAGTTTCACATCAGCCCCTACGGTTCCATGGATTATTGTTATTGGATGTTATATGTCTGTTACTCTATTGCTCGGAGGTCCCATTAGGCTCAGGGTCTTGTTGTTCTAAGGGCTACACAAAAAGGTGGCTGTGATCCCAGTCTCATAAATTGGAAAGCCAGAAGGGACCACTGTGATCATCCAGTCTGACCTCCTGTATAATACAGGCCGTAGAAGTTTCCTGAGTTAATTCATGTTTGAACTAGAGTATTTTTTCTTAAAATCAGGGGAGGGAGGATCACAGGGCATGGATCACTTGATGATTACCTGTTCTGTTCATTCCCTCTGGGGCACCTGGCATTGGCCACTGTAGGAAGACAGGATACTGGGCTAGATGGACTTCTGGTCTGACCCGGTATGGCCGTTCTTATGTAATCCAATACTGATTTTAAAATTGCCAGTGATGGAGAATCCATGACAACCTTTGGTAAGTTGTTCCAATAATTACTTACTGTCACTGTTAAATATTTGCACCTTATTTCCAGTCTGAATTCATCTAGCTTCAACTTCCAGCCATTGCATCGTGATATATCTCTGTCTGCGAGACTGAAGAGTCCACTATCAAATTTTTGTTTCTCATGTTCCTCATTTTGTAACTTATAAACTGTCGTCAAGTCACCCTTTTAACCTTCTCTTTAAGCTAAATGGATTGAGCTCTTGGAGTCTCACTACCTCGAAGTGCTTACAATAAAGATAAGGTAGACAGGAAGGGTGGGGGGGAAGTATGATATAAAATATACATTTGATTTTTTTAACAGTCTTAGGTTTGTAATTATGTAAGTAAGTGCGGCTCAGTCTTGCCACCAAGCCTTGGCTGATTTCTTATAAAATCATGGCAGAAGGGACCATGAGTAAGGCTACAATTCTGTTACGGAGGTCACAGATTCCGGAACTTTCTGGGACCACTGTGACTTACCTCTTCTGGGGCAGGGCTGGAGCAGCTGTCAGCCCTGGGGCTGCTGGAGCAACAGCCGCCAGAACAGATGACCGGTGGCCAGTCCCGGGGCCTCCAGAACAGCTGACTGGCGGCTAGCCCTGGAACTGCCAGAGCAGCAGTCCCCGGCCTGGCAGAGCAGCGGCTGGGGTTGGGTCAGCCCTCCTGGGGCTGGAGCAGCAGCAGTCAGCCCCTGCCGCAGGAGCAGGTGCTAGTCCCCATGGCGCTTTCTCTTCTCCCCCCCACCTCAAGTGTTTTTAGTAAAAGCCAGGGACGGGTCTCTGGCTTCTGTGAATTTTTGTTTATTGCCTGCAACCTATCCACTAAAAATAACCATGACAAAATCTTAGCCTTAGCCCTGAGCCATCTTCTGATGGTGCTTGAGCACTCTCCTGGTGCTGGATCTGGAACTGCTTATCTGCCTTTAATCTAGCCCTTTGGTTGGGAAATGTATGGAAGCCCACAGTGAAATGCGATAGAAAGAAAAATAAAGCAGAATGGAAGGAAGAAGAGGTTGGACAACATAGAGATGGTTCCACTTCCTAGAGGAACGCCATCCAAGGAATGGATGTCTGCTCTACTATAATTAAAGTGACAAGACGAAAACAAATCCCAATGGCTGTGTAAACAACTAAAGGGCCCGTGGGATGATCACAGATTTCCCCAAATGGAAACCGAAGCAAGGAAGCTATGATGGGAAGAATAGTAACAAGCCTGATTCTTTTTATCCAAAGCTAAAGTTTGGAAAGGGCAGTTTCACTAAGAGGCAGCCTACGGTCTTCGGCTTCTGTACAGGTACTGTCCCAGCGGACGGAGAAAATCAACGGTCTAACTCTCTCTCTTTCTATGAGAGGTATAGAAAGGCTGAGCCTGACACATGGGGGCCCGTTTGCATGGCAAGGGATGCTTCCTTGGAATGTACAAAGTATTGTTTCCCACTCCTCCACAGCCGTCTCTGAGAGCATATGGCTTTGATTTTTAACTACAATTCAATTGTGTAGGGCACTTACCGTCCTGAAGAAGTTTGTTTAAGTGAACCAGCACTTTCGAACAACTGGGCTCTTGCGGCCACTCTGAAAATTGAGTTAAGAGGCATCTGGTTTTAAACTTGTCCCTTTCAATGAATTGCATAGAGTTATTTCAGTTTTAATAATCTAAAGCAGCGGTTCTCAAACTGTGGGTTGGGACCCCAAAGTGAGCTGTGATCCCATTTTAATGGGGCCGCCAAGGCTGGCGTTAGACTTGCTGGGGCCTGGGGCCAAAGCTGAAGCCCAAGCCCCACCTCCTGGGGCTTAAGTCTGACCCCCACCTCCTGGGGGTGAAGTCTGAGCCCCAACTCCTGGGGCTGAAGCCTGAGTCTGAGCCCCACTGCTCGGGGCCAAAGCCCGAAGGCTACAGCCTTGGGTGGCAGGGCTCAGGTTACAGGCTCCCAACCTGGGGCTTGGGCTTTGGCTTTGCTCCCCCATTTCCCTCCCGTGGCAGGGCTCGGGCAGGCTCAGACTTTGGTCCCCACTCTTGAGGTCATGCAGTAATTTTTGTTGTCAGAAGCGAATCACGGTGCAATGAAGTTTGAGAACCCCGATCTAAGGTAATTTTAGTTGCACGGACAAGAAAATGTTAATTTTTATTTTAAATTCTTTATTTGATTCTTAAAGTGACTGTGCTCCCTTTTTCAATCTGAAAAATGTAGAAACAATGGAGGAAACCAAGAAGCAAGTCATGCTGAGCTTAGGTCCCAGTTCAGCAAGAATCTTAAGCATGTGCCCAACTTGAAGGACATGAACAGTCCAACCAGTTTCAAGAGTGGCATGAGCTAAAGTACCTTGCTGAATTGGTAAAACAGGAAGGAACTCTGCTGAAAATGCAACACAAAACATTCCCATAATTTTTAATTCATATTCATGTCTTGTCACTAAATAAACCTGAAGTGAACGAGATGTAGTTTCTGGAGAGGGAAAATGGGTGTTATCATTTCTGGGTTCACTGACCGCCAGTCCTGTGCTATAAGCACTAGAAAACATTTTTAACCCACAGTTTATGTGAAAATAATCATTTATATTTTGCAATGCATTCCGTCTCAAGAAATCTCTAGCTATTTTATCAAAAACAAAGAAATTATTTAACCGTGCATGCAATGGAACACATCAATTTCAGAGAGGAATTAAATTTGTCTTGCTCTGATTTCTGACTGTCAAAAGAAAGAGGTGATGATGAATAACACTTTATTCCTTGACATATCACCTGGACAGTCTGTGGCATTTAGATCTCTTAAAATAATAAACACAGAAGAAGCAGAGAGATAATGTTAGAGCTGGCTGAATAGTATCAGTCCAATAATTTATTCAATGGATTAATTTTCTCTCCTCATTATTGGCTTAATCCAAAGCCCAATGATTAAATCAATGGGAGTCTTTCGCCGACTAGAGCTGGGTGAAATTTTTCAGATGAAACTTTTTCACCAATAAATGAAGATTCAGATTGACCAAAACATTTCACGGATGAATACTTGTTGATTTGTTTTGGCCAAAAAAAAAAAAAAGAAAAACTTTTGGAAATGTCCGAACAGACCATTTCAACAATGTCACAATGAAACATTTCGACTTTTCAGGCTACAGTCACAAGAGGATTTGGGCATCATTCACAAAGCCACCGGAGGAGGAGGCCATGGCAGTTGTGCTGCCCCTCGCTTATCACCTTTAACCTATAGGTTAGGGCACTTCCTTGGGATGTTGGAAACCCAGGTTTGAATCCCTGCTCTGGAGCAGGGGTTTGAACCCAGGTCTCCCTCTCTAGAGTGACTGCCCTCACCACCAAGGTATAGGGTATTTTGGGGTGGGCATCTCTCAATCTTTCCCGTTGAAGCTGTTCTACTTTGTGCAAAATACTTGAATAGTCACTGGGAGAGTGAGAATGACTCTACATCCCAGTGGCTAGGGTATTCCCATATGAGGGGACACACCCAGGTTCCAGTCCCTGCTCTGATGACTTCTTAATTATTTATACAAAGTGGAACAGCTTCAACAGGAGAGACTGAGAGACTCCAGAACTAGAATAGCCTATAATCTGGTGGTTAGGGCACGCACCTAGAAGGGGGAAAAATTGCATTCAAGTCACTGCTCCAAAACAGGGATTCAAAGCTGGGTCTCTCACATCCCATGTGAGTGCCCTAACCTCTGGGCTAAAGGTTATAAGTGTAAATCCCTTATCCCCTGTTTCTGTGAATCTAGCCCTTCATTTCTTTTGCTTTTATTAACGACACATGAAATGAAATGTCTTGGTTCAACCCAAACCAATTAGCCAAAAATTCAAATAAATTTTGATTTCAGTTCAACTCAAAGCATTTTTTTTTATTTTTCAGAACTGCCAATAAACCAAAAAATCCATTATCCAGAGAGCTCTACCACTGATATCAATACACTTTGGGTAAGCCCCCATCTGCCTAGTTTTCAGAGTTTATGAATCTTGATGAATAATTCTCAAAGATGACAATTTCATTTGATTTATCTGATCAAATATTCATGAATACTTTCCCCATCATTCACCCAGCTGCATAGGATAGTTTGTATGGGAACATAATGCAATACATCAAATCTCCACTAAGTCTTGATGACTTACACGGATCCTGGTCTCTGATAGCCATTACTTGATGCAGTATCCAATCTTAATCTCCTGCGCATTTTGGGTGGCAACTCAGGATTCAGTGCAGCCTTTGGTGTATCTTTGGCATCAATTGAGGCTAAGCTCTGTACAGATCCACTGCAACTTTTGTTACCTACAGGGAACAACCAGAATGCGGGGAATATAATAAGATTTCAGTGTGCCTTAATCGCATGTATATCATACATAAGAAAGCAGGATTTTTAAAAAGAAATAAAATAGGTAGAGACAATGCTTACCAAGAAAGAGAACAGACAGCCTATCAAGCAGAAAGGTAACTAGAAAAGCATCACCACCAAAAATGGAGAGAATAATACTAAAACTTTGAAGAAGGCGGAAGATTCTTATGCTGCACCGATGAATATATAATACGTTTTCTGAACATTGATGATGCTAAAACTCCATTAGCAAAACACTACACAAGCCAGCCTCCTGTCTGTTTAATACTAATAGCTCCCCCCCCAATAAAAACAGAACAAACAAAAAAAACAGGTTTATGAGGTTTTTGTAGATGAAAATTAAAACTTGTTTAAATGACTATTTTGTTACCATATCTTAATAAAATAAAACAAACTTTGCATAGCTTGGATTTTATCTGTCAGAAACAGAAGGCCCTAATGTAATATTATATAAATATTCAGTAATAACAGCCAGGAAGCCTTCGAAAAAGATATGTCCTTGTACCTGCTTTGTTCTTATATATGACTTTCACAGGTTTCTAATAGATAATAATGATAATAATAATAATAATAATATAGTGCTTCACATTTTCAAAGCACTGTATAAAGACTAATACATTTCATACATTTCTTGCAAGGCAGGTAGATTTTACTTAATAAAGTCCCCAATTTCTAGATGAGGAAACAATTACTCAAAATGATCTATTTATTTGTACTGAAGTAGCACCTAGGAGCCCTACATAACCCCATTGTGCTAAGCACTGTACAAATCTACACAGCAGATCAGTGGAAGAGCTAGAGGTAGAACTCAGGGGTTCCTGGTTCCAAATCTCATGTTCAATCCATCAGAATTTACTGTCTCAATGATTGTGTTAACCTTAGTAATCCACAACATTATAAATAAATTGACTTCTTTTGGTATCTATTTTTAAGGGCAATGCCCAGTCAATTATCAAGGTATTGTGAAATCATCTTGTGATGGACTGGACTCAGTTTCTGGATTCCAAAACAGGAGAAGTGGCCAAAAATATCTTCTTTCATCCCATGTGTGCACACAGACATGTTCAGCCACACCTTTGTAACCTACTGGCTAGATTATATGCTATACTTGAACATAAGAACGGCCATACTGGGTCAGACCAAAGGTCCATCTAGCTCAATATCCTGTCTTCCAACAGTGGCCAATGCCAGGTACCCCAGAGGGAATGAACAGAACAGGTAATCATCAAGTGATCCATCCCCTGTTGCCCATTCCCAGCTTCTGGCAAACAGAGGCTAGGGACACCATCCCTGTCCATCCTGGCTAATAGCCATTGATGGACTACCCTCTATGAATTTATCTAGTTCTTTTTTGAACCCTGTTATTGTCTGGGTCTTCACAACATCCTCTGGCAAGGAGTTCCACAGGTTGACTTGCCTTGTGTGAAGAAATACTTCCTTTTGTTTGTTTTAAACATGCAGCCAATTAATTTCATTTGCCCCATAGTTCTTGTGTTATGAGAAGGAAGAAACAGCACTTCCTTATTTACTTTCTCCACACCAGTCATGGTTTTATAGACCTTTATCATAACCCCCCTTAGTCGTCTTTTTTCCAAGCTGAAAAGTCCCAGTCTTATTAATCTCTCCTCATATGGCAGCCACTCCATACCCATAATCATTTTTGTTGCCCTTTTCTGAACCTTTTCCAATTCCAATATATCTTTTTTAAGATGGGGTGACCACATCTGCACGCAGTATTCAAGATGTGGGCGTACCATGGATTTAGATAGAGGCAATATGATATTTTCTGTCTTATTATCAATCCCTTTCTTAATGATTCCCAACATTCTATTAGTATTTTTGACGGCCGCTGCACATTGAGTGGATGTTTTCAAAGAACTATCCAAAATGACGCCAAGATCTCTTTCTTGAGTGGTAACAGCTAATTTATACTCCATAATTTATACGTATAGTTCGGATTATGTTTTCCAATGTGCATTACTTTGCATTTATCAATACTGAATTTCATTTGCCATTTTGTTGCCCAGTCACCCAGTTTTGAGAGATCCTTTTGTAGCGCTTCGCAGTCTGTCTGGGACTTAACTATCTTGAATAGTTTTGTATCATCTCCAAATTTTTCCACCTCACTGTTTACCCCTATTTCCAGATCATTTTTGAATATGTTGAATAGGACCAGGCCCAGTATAGACCCTTGGGGGACATCACTATTTACCTCTCTCCATTCTGAAAACTGACCATTTATTCCTACACTTCGTTTCCTATCTTTTAACCAGTTACCGATCCATGAGAGAACCTTCTCTCTTATCCCATGACAGCTTACTTTGCTTAATTGCCTTTGGTGAGGGACCTTGTCAAAGGCTTTCTGAAAATCTAAATACACTATATCCACTGGATCCCCCTTGTCTACATGCTTGCTGAGCCCCTTTTGGGGCCACTTAAAGAAATGCCATCTTCTAAGTATCAGAGGGGTATCCGTGTTAGTCTGAATCTGTAAAAAGCAACAGAGGGTCCTGTGGCACCTTTAAGACTAACAGAAGTATTGGGAGCATAAGCTTTCGTGGGTAAGAACCTCACTTCTTCAGATGCAAGTAATGGAAATTTCCAGAGGCAGGTATAAATCAGTATGGAGATAACAAGGTTAGTTCAATCAGGGAGGGTGAGGTGCTCTGCTAGCAGTTGAGGTGTGAACACCAAGGGAGGAGAAACTGCTTCTGTAGTTGGATAGCCATTCACAGTCTTTGTTTAATCCTGATCTGATGGTGTCAAATTTGCAAATGAACTGGAGCTCAGCAGTTTCTATTTGGAGTCTGGTCCTGAAGTTTTTTTGCTGTAAGATGGCTACCTTTACATCTGCTATTGTGTGGCCAGGGAGG